TATCAGATTTATTATTCACAAAAATATATATAGAAATAATATGCATGAAAGAGTTATTGTAATACTAGAAATTTTGGAATTGGGAGGAATGTATGGACTATTCGTGTTTGTGTCCTAATTTTTTGGTTACTGGCACGTGTCAAGGCTTGATGATTTTTGTAGAGATGCTTCGGCAGTATAAAAGTAATAATTTTTTATTACATAAAAGCGCATACAATATTTCGATACTAGCGGATGATAATCAAGAGTCAAAAGTACCTTACTTTGGACTCAAATATTAACCTCAAATACAGCGCAACGAGAAAATTCGATACCGATCGCAGATCGTATTATAATAAAACTAATAAATGTTACAGAAAACATTGTTCAATAAGAAATCAGGTTACAAATGATTTATTAACAGCATGTGGTATTATTTCAAATAGTACATTTGATCATATGGTAAACATTAAAAAAGAAGGATCGCTGAGGTTTTATAACGAAATTTAAGGTTATAATATATTTGCAATGAAACATATTATATCGATACTTTAATAAAAAGTGTTACAGTAAACTTATACAAAAAGAGGCATTGTTCACGATGATACCAATGCCTATCATGAGGTATAGTAACCAACCATTTTTGTCGTCCCTGTTACTAAATTCCAAACATACGATCGTGTGAACTATTTAAATAATAAGGGAAAGTTGCCTAATTAACTTTAATCTTAAAATGACATAAAAGCGCTATGTTGCCAGGAAATTTTCGTGACTTTTTTTTTTTTTTTTCCCTTTTTTTTTTTTTTTTTTTTTTTTTTTCTTTCTTTCATATATAATGCGGTTGATTCGCATTATGTTACCGTTATTAAGATCTAGAAAAAACTAGTGTCTTATTCTAATTATTCTAATTTGTCTTAGTGTCCTATATTTATAATCCTTGTGTCCTTAATAATCTTAAAAACCTTAGTTGTACATGTACATAAATTTGGGTCATGCGAGACCTAACCTTATTGAGCCAAAATCATTAAAAAAAAAGGCTAATTTCTATAAGAACAACTTTTACATGCATACGTAAAAATTTCATTTCCTCATATATCAATGGAATCTTTAATCCATCCCATAATTAATTTATTATCATCATGAACCTTTCCGATAACAAATATTCCTATTGTTTCATTTTTATATTCACTTACCACAGCAACGCAACCCATCTGTGGTAATCCTTTAACTCTTATATGATCCCAATTGCGTTCCTCTAATGATAAAGTTTTCAAAAGCTCCCATGGTCGACCCTCTTTTTCATAATTAAATTCATCTCTTTCCATTCCACTTAAAATGACAATACGATGGTGCATCGAAAACATCGCTGCATGTACTCTTCTTCCGACTTTACTTCCATTTGTTGCTATCCAATCTGGTGGAAGAGATAATGTAGGCGATAATCGAGAACCATCAGGATAAGGAGTAATAATTTTAAGCCAATTATTATGACAAACATCATAAAAATGAATATCCTTATCATCATGTATTTCTGTTTCCTTTGTAGTAGTAGAATTTATTTGTTGTCCACCAAAAATGTAAAGCTTTTCATCAAATACAGCAGTACTATGCGAAGCACGCCGATAGGGCATGTTATTTGGTTCTGTATGGTAAGACCAAACATTTTTTTTTACATCATAAATGGCAAAATGTTGAGTATCATAAATTTCTTCACCTCTTAAACATCTTCCGCCAAACATTATCAAACGATTACCATCGATAGCATTAAGTGTATGCATTTTTCGAGGAGCAGGAGTCGACGAGGATTCTACCTTACGCATATTATATGTTTTAATATCTAATTCATAGAGCACGTTAGATAATTTTTCGGTTTCTATATTTTCACCACCAAATATATACATTATTTTTGCAATGATCGCTGCAGCAGTATACCGAACTGGTTCGTATGAATCATGAGAGTCTAAGACTATCTTAATTGGTTTACTAGTCCACGTGATCGGGTGAACCGTTATATCAAGTGACCAACAAATCGGCTCGTCTTTGGAAAAGATCACAAGATAGAAAATATTATCTGACCATACACCATCTCGATAATTAGAAGCGATGACGTTACTGTTCTTAACATCAAAATCATTTACGGCTTCCCATTCAGGTGACACGAACCCAAAACGAAATTTAGATGACATGCGATATAACCATCGACAAGTTTTAGAAATATTTTTTAGATCATTTCTATTTAATTGTTCCATGATGAGGTACAAAGTTTCTGTGGGCAGCTTGGCAAGTCTATTGCCTTCTAGCATTGATAAAGTAATCTAAGGATGGCGAAACCGATTGGCATTGGGTTTTGATGAGTTAGAGGACCTAGTGGTATGAAAATATGAAACCTTTTTAAAATTATGCGCCTCACGCAATGGGTCAAGAGAGAAATCAGAAATGTTCAAGTAAGCTTTTTATTTTTTTTTACTTCTTGGAAATCTTCTTTTTATAAATTTAATCCAATGCCGCACGTGATTCAAGATGGTGTTAATCTATGCTTCATAACTTTTATCCCCAAATTTGGAGTAAAAACTTTCGGGC